CTCAGGGACTAGCAAGATAACAGAAATGAACGACAGAGCCACCGACTCTGACCTTTCGCACCCAGCTCCTGCGGGTCCACAAGATGCAACTCAGGAGCAAGGAAGAGCGGGCAGGGTCTCGGCTTCTGTGAGCCCTGTCTCCTATCTCTCCAGAGGACTACGTTTGCTCGCTCGCTCACTGCCACACGTATTAGTGTCAGTTGAAGCAGGAAAGAAATATCTATCAATAAAACTTTGCAGGTCAGCTCCTGGCTCTCGGAAATGGCACAGCATGAGAGATGATGGGCGCAGGGAGTGTGTGTACAGCACCTGTACTTTTGAGTGTTTATTACTCAGTCCCAAGCAGGCTTTCACCACAAACTGCTTCAAGAAAAAATTACATAAAACTAAGCAGGGAACAAAAAGCATCACAGAGCTGTGCAGAATTAGCAATGATACCAAGGACGGTCCTTGGTATCATTAAAGGGTATCATTAAAGGGTCCTGTTAAAGGTCCCTGGCAGGCAGCAAGGAGGGGTCTGTGTGGCTTGCTTCCAACCCCAATGTAACTGAGAAGTGTTGGTGTCAGGAATTTGCACTTCTCAGGTGATGGGGAGGGGGCGGCCAGGGAAGCCGGAACCTGAGATTCCGGAAGCTCTGCCAGCGAGCTGCACGCAGGGAGACCTCTTCCCTCCCCCGGAAGAGCCAAGCATGCAGCACACCTGGACAGTCAATGTCGAGGATTAGGGAAGACAGACAGAGGAGGAGCCATGGAAAGCGCCCGCGGAGAGGGGGCAGGAGGAGCCTGGAGCTCAAAGATCAGCTTGAGCAGTGGGCACTGCTAAGGGAGGAGGCTGACACCACAAGCAAAGGCTCAGAAGGGTTCCAGAAATTTCATCATCAGAGAACGAGGACCTGACACAGGAAGTGGAGGCTAGGGAGGAGGACAGCCCAATACTTGGTGTGGACAAACAACAAAATTTAGGACCAGAATAAATTTAGAAATCCAAGGAGGAAGAGGTCAGCAATGACCTGCTGACGACGTTGGCACCATCCTTCTCCGATCCTGGAAGGAAGGTTTCCATTTGCTCTAAACTAGGGACTGTCGCAAGCTGGCCCCAAACCAAGCACGGTAAATCCGCTGCCCAAGGGGAACCAACACAGTGGGTGTGGGGCACAAAGAGCGAGACAGGGCAGGAGCTGAGCTCTTCCTCTGCGGTGACAGGCGTTGGGGCAGAGAGGTACTAAACACTCAAAAGGATGGGGCTTGCTCCTGTGAAACAGCAAGTAGCGACATACACGCTTCATTGATACAGTTGGGCATCTCTTACACAAGTTGACACAATCAGTTAACCAGCATGAGCTTACACACTGATATTTTTCAGTGTGTAAGTAGCGACATACACACTTCATTGATACAGTTGAGACTGTATCAATGGTCCCAGTTATGTAATCTGTGTCATGAAGAGATAAAAAATTAAACTCTGTTTGTGCCAGGAGTAACTTTACCTGTTTAGTGATCTTCCCACATTCTTTGTCGTTCATTTTGTTGCTGATATACTAGATGTACTTAAACTTGAGGTCAGATAGAAGACATAGGGCCACTGTGTTTCACATGCTATAGGAACGTGCCACTGCACACCTGGGTCCGCAGTCTAAGCAGCGTGAAAGCACGTTTACATACGTGCTAGGAGAGTCAAGACATAGTTGTACTATTTTCAAATTATTTTAGAGGTTTATTACAACTGTGCATTTGCTTTTGTAATGTGAGTTACTGGTGACATATATGATTGGTTTGCTAAGTCTTTGTCTCTTAAGTGAATACTCAGTCTATCTCACTTAACGTTATGGTCTCCGGGTACATCTATTTTCCTATAAATGACTCAGGTTGGTCATTCTTTATGGCAGAGTAGTGCTCCATTGTGTATAAACACCACTTTTTCCTTATCTATTCATCTGCTGATGAACATCTAGGCCACTTTCAAGATTTAGCTGCCATGAGTTGTGCTGCTATAAACATGGGTGTGCCTGTGTCACTGTAATTTGATGTCTTTAACTCTTCTGGGAATATACCTAGAAAGGAAATAGCTGGGTCCTATGGAATTTGTAAATATTGCATGGATTCACTTATATGAGAAACCCAAGACATAGATAAAGAGCAAAATAAAAGATGCATAGTAGGAAATAGGGAGACAGATCTTTTGCAAAAGGAAGGGGAGCAAAAGAGGGAGAGAAGGGGACCTTTTTTATTCCTAAGTAGTTCAGGCAAAGTGGATGTGAAAAGAATTAAATTATGTTATACACAGATACTGACTCTCCAGAGGAATGTGACCACTATATACTGCAAACATAGACTAATAAAAATTAAATAACAACAATAGTAAAATAAAAAAACATTCCCTCAAAAATACTCCACGGTAATAGTGTTCGGTCATATGGGGAAAAATGATTGGTTCCATGCCCACCAACTTACTGATGCCGTTTCTCAGCCCCGTGTTGGGAATCAAAGGCAGCCTCTATTTTGTGCTGAATTTATATTCAGAGCTATGGAAAACATTTCATACTGCCATTGAAATACATTTTAAAAATACTTTCTGTAGCTCAACTAATACCCACAGCAATTTTTCAGTCCAGCATGATACAGTAACAGGACTTGGGCTGGCAATATTTAGAGCCGGGTAGAGTGGCCCAGGGAGAACAGTGCTAGGTCGCCAAGGAAGGCCGAGTGCGTTCCACATCCCTGTCCCCTCTCTTGTAATCAAGCTTAGGAGGGCAAAGCACAGACGCTCGTCTGGAACACGCATCAGTGCAGTGCGTTCCCCTCTCGGTCCACAGAAACGACAGGCACGGGGCGTGGGGACACTCACCATCCTCATCTGTCTGCACCACGAGCTCCAGGCTCTCCTTCCGGCCCTCAGGGTTCATGAGGATGAGCTTGACGCTGACGTTGGTGTAGGGGGCCAGGTTGGTGATGGTGTGCTGCGGGTGCGCGCTGTCCTTGTCCCAGCTCACCTCCTCCCGCACCTGCTCCTGTCGGCCCACCTGGTAGCAGTAGTGCACGGTGAGATTGTAGCTATGGCAACGGGTCACATTGTAGCCAAAAGGCTCCCAGCGGATGGTGATTTGCCGGGACTTGACCTCGACGACCTCCAGTTTTCTTGGACCACGCATGGGATCTGTTTTAAAAAGAAGAAAAAGAGAATAAAAGAAAAAGTCACGAAAGAGCACAACATTCTACCTGTCATGGGTACCAGGTCTCCTTCTTCAATAAGAGCAAGGCATAAGGCCACCCAGACTAGGCTGACCTTCCTGTTCTGTTCTGCAGCAGAGTGTGGCCATGTGTCTAATTTTAGAGGTGAGGCACAGGACATGAAAAGTGAAGAGCAGTTTCTGGGAGGTATTCTTAAAAGGAAAGGGCCACCATATTTATTGCTTCTTCTTTCCTAGCAGCTGGATTGAGGATGTGATGACCGGAGCTCACGCTGGTTAACTGATTGTGTCAACCTGTGTAAGAGATGCCCCACTAAACTAGCTCAGCTTAGTTCTGGAGGTGGAAGACCACTCTAGAGCGGCTTGCTGCCTGAATACGGGCAAGGAAGCGGGCCAGCTGGCTTCTGTTTCTTCAGAGGAGCTCCCACCTTCGCCTTCACTTTGGATGTCGTCTCCTGGCTTCTGGAGCAGACTTTCCAGCCTCCAGCGCGGACACTTTGGCCTCTTGATTCAGACTCGCACAGGACACTGCCCTGAGCTCTGGGCCTTCGACTGGATCCCTCAGCTCTCCAGGACACACAGCCCTCTGCACTCCTCCACACCTGACTCTGGGCGGCCTTGTACATTCTTGTGTATTCGTGCATCTTGCACTCAAACTGTTTCTCTAGTAAGCACTGACTGATACAGAGCTCACGCAGCCAGGATGGGCCACAGAGTACTTCGGTGTCAGGAGTGTAAAGCCGTGATGAAGAAGGACCCAGGCTCCTGTAATCACTGAGCTATCTTATCAGCCCTGAACTACTTTCAAGTTTTTTAATAGGGGAAATTTGATGGCATCTTATTACATTTCTTTTCCTTTGGGCCTCTGATATAAGAAGTCATCACATTAACTGACACATATATGCTACATCTTTAAAAATTAATTTATGATTATGTAATTTGAAACCATAAGAATAAAAGTTTGAGAATTCAGCATGAAGTGATGCAATGATGAGCAAGCCCCATCTTTTGGACAGAACTCCTGGTCTCTTTCAGTCCTGATTTGCACAGAAGTTGTCATAGTCAGGGTTTTCAAGGGAAGAGATTTAAAACAGGATACATAATTTATAGGATTATTTTATAATAGCCACCCAAAGAGTCAAATGCAGAAGAGTGCGAGAGATCTGTCCACACACTAGAGACCCAAAGAATCCAGCTGAGGGCCTGGATCCCATGACAATGTCCTGCATGGGTCCAGGGGGAGGCCCAGAGCCCATGGCAGTGTCCTCTACAAGTCCAACTGGAGGTTTAGAGCCCACAACAATGTCACATGCAAGTCTGAACCAAGGGTCTGCACTGGGAAGGCCAAAAGGTCAGTGGTGGAAGCTAGAAAGTCTGTGCCAGTGGGATGAAGGATCTGTGCCAGTAGGCTGAGGGATCAGCACTGGAGCCAGGAAGTGATGTACAAGGTAAGGAGCAGAGCTCCCCTGAAAAGAACCATACCCAGCCTCAGCGACAGTGAGGACCCAAGCTCCTCCAACAATAACAGTCGAGTTCCTATCAGGAGAATCAGCAGCACACCATCTTCCTTTCCAATTCTCCTTTTATGCTGTTGGCAACTGTCCTCAGGTGGGCCTCCCACACCCAGCACCACGCTGATTCAGTTCAGCTGGGTGTCACAGTTGACCATTACTTAATCCACCACAGAAGTCCATATGATCAATGATGAGGTAATTTTTGTCTGTTCCTGACAATGTCTTAGCAATCTTTAGGCTTCAAGAACAAAGTTTTAAGCCCAGAACTTTAAATGACACTCAAGGAATATAAGCATTTTGAGCAGTCCACATTAAAATATACACAGAGCTTATGTTCCTTTATTAAATGATGATAGAATAGGACTAAATACACAGCGTTTATTGAGTGTGTGCTATGTATATGCGCTGCTCCAAGAAGTTCAGCTTTCTGGAGTCTGGGAATGCTCTGCTTTGGTATACCCACAGTGCCTCTGTGCACCTGGACTTTCGTTTTACTGAAGTATGGTCGTCATAGATGGATGTAAGCAGTCAGAAACTCACATGGGAAATCGAGAAGTAACAGTTCCCATGTACTGTGCACTTCCTCTGTGTGAACTGCTTTACATACATGTTCTCAGTCCCTCAAACTAACCTTGAGGATTAAACACTTTTCCCCAATATCTAGCTGCAAAAATTGTGGTCAAGCGAGGCTCAATAATTTGGGCTGCGGTGCTCAAATCAGATGAGACAACCAAGCTTAATGGTTCTTCACGTCTACAGCACAGTCTCTGCCAAACTCAAGAAATCACACAAAAAAGCAAATAGGGTAGCAAAAATACCTACACATGACCAAAGGACTTAGGATGTGGTAAAGATCCAATGTAGTTAGTATGAAACAAAAGCTTTGGGAGGAAGTCGTCCTCTTCCTGCTCTTCCTCCTAATTTCAAAGATGTGGAGTTCTCGGCCACTGTACTGTCTGCAGTCCCTGAAACCTTGCCTGTGCTGCAGGGTTCTGGAAATCTCTCCCAACTGTTACTGAAGCTGTTCCTTATTTCTCCTTGTGCCTAAATCCCCAGTGTCTATTTTTCTGTACAATTCAGGATTCAGAGAGAACTCAGAACTGCCCCTGTCCATCTGTGACCTCCAATCCATGAAAATGTTTTAGTAAAATAACCTTTAATTTCATAGATGCAAGGTAGGGCTCATCTGCCAGACATCTGCTCGAGCCATCCAATGAGGTTAATATTGATGCTTCACGCTGTAGCTCTGGGGACCAAGGCCAAGCAAGAGGAAAAATTCTCCAAGGAATCCAGAGTGTCCTCTCACAGAATATTCTTTATTACTAAATTAATTTTTTATATTTAAATTACTACTGTTAGGGAAAATATCATAAATAAGTTATTTATAAATAACACTGAAGGTTTTTTTTTTCCACATTAGTGACTTCTTACAATTTAAAGGGAATGTCTAATTTTATTTAATACTTCATTACTTGAAGGCTTATAACAACTTTTAATAAACTCCAGACTCCTTATACATAAACAGATTAATATAAGTCTCTTCATCCTTTTCCTTATTAATCACCGGTCCCTGCAAGGACGGTTCTAAACCACTTTCCCAAGGTTTTCATCAATTTTACTTATGAATAAAATGACTAAATGCTTCAGATATCAGCTTAAACAGGGGGAAAGTTCTAACTTAATTTCAATGGAAAACTACTTTCTGCTGTATAAATTAGCCTGTGTCATTTCAGTGTCTCTCAGCCAAGAAAACACATAGGTAAATTAAGCCCAGGACTAGAAAACGGTGGTTCTACCAATCTCCTCTTGGAGTTTTCTTGAAATGCACATTCAGTACCTCTCTGCTAGTGCCTTAGAATTCACTCACTCCACCATGGTAAAATTATGTCCCCGGCTTTCCATACGTCAGCTAAGAGAAACGGTTAAGCTTAGCACAAAACAGCCATGCTGTGACCAAGTCTCCAACATCACCACGTCCTGAGGGTCATCACCAGACCAGCAACAGTGGCTGAGGGAGGCTTCCATTCTCTGGTCCCATGGTCACCAAAACAAAACTGTCTCCCTGATGAATCTCAGAGGTACAGACAGACCTGGCCTAGTGAAATAACCTTTAATTTCATAGATGCAAAGTAGGGCTCATCTGCCAGACATCTGCTCAAGTCATTCAATGCGGTTCATATTGATGCTGGTGGTGGCTCAATTTATTCAGTTTGACAATCATGTCAAAGCCATACGTTCAGTAGAAGCTACAGTCTGTGGTCGGCACTGGAGATTGAACCTAGGGCTTTTGGAATGAGCTCCATAGCCAGACCTTAAAAAAAATGTTGTTTTCAATTTTGAGACAGGGTCTCAGTAAGTAGCTAAGCTGCCCAGGCTGGGCTCGGATTTGTAATCCTCTTGGCTTAGCCTCCCAGTGCTGGGATGGCAGCCATGTGCCACCATGTCCGGCTCAGCAGAAACTATTCTGAATTTCTTTTGCTAGGCCAGTGGTATGCAGTGCAATCTTTCTCAGGATGCTGGCCAGTCGTGAGATCACGGGGAGAAATGAACGAAGCTCTCCAGTGCTGAGTCACTAAATGGTGACATCTGGTAGGTGGCGTGGGCTTGATGCCATTTAGATGTCCAGTATCTCCAACTTACAATGGGGCCATGGGGACAAAACACCATCCTAAGTTGCGGGGTATCTGCATTTCTCTTTCCACCACTTGGGGCCCTTTTCTGCTGTGTCTGCTCAGACTTGATATGGATATGGGGGGTTAGTGCCAAGGCACAGCCATGAGTCCAACAAACAGGGTTAGGGATGGAGGCCACTTGGACTCAGATTCCAAAAGCTTCTCCACTTGTCAAAAGCTTGACAGAGGATCAGAATCAATACACAGCTCAGGTGACACAGGCCACTGCAGAAGGAGTACTGTCATTGTCTCTTGCCAGGTCCAAAGTCAAAGCTAAGAGGGCTGGGGAAATGGCTACTGAAAAACCAGGCATCAGCTGTGTGTGTAGCTCTGTGGTCCCTAGCATGCACGCTTGAGGCTCTGGGGTCAATCCCAAAATAAAGCAAAATGGTAATAACAGCAGAGCCCAGACTCATCCAAGATCATAATAGAATCTTGTCTGCTACCATGTACCTGTGATAGCAGTTTCCTCTAATGGTACTACTGATAGGCTAAGTCCAAGGACTAAGGAAATCTCACAATTCTTTAAATGTGTCCTAAGCATTCTTCATTTTTTCTTTTCTTCTGCCATCCTGCAGAATTTGGTTGTGAACCAGCTATAGATTTATGATTGCATTTTACAATGAAATTTACATGTTTCTGTGGACCCACAGCCACGGATGTGCTGCTACCCAGGTATGAGCAACTCCACGGGGACATCTACCCTAGGGGAATATACTGATGATCACTGAAGATAGAAAGGCAGCCCATCCTTGCAGAAATGAATCACACTCCGGGAAA